TTTTTCTTCATGAATTGCTTGCATGGTTGAAACTGTATCAGGTAGAATAGCTGGAAAAACAATCTTGCATTTTGCTACAGCGACATTAAGAACACCAACTACTTCTGAGAAAATATGAAACATTGGTATTGGAACACAGAGACGAGTAAGGAATCTTTCAAACAAATTCCATTGAGCATGAACCAAGTTAAGAATACCAAAGTTGGTTAATGTTGCTGCTTTTGGCTGACCAGTTGTACCTGATGTATAAAATATTGCTAGAGGTGAATCAGGATTTACAGATGCTTGACGTTCATTTAGTTTTTCATGTGATAGTTTTGAGCCATGTTCAATCAACCGATTATATGAATGAACACCTGATGTCGATAATTCATCACCTGTGAGAACAACATATTTTAGTGTTGGTAATGCTTTTGATGATAGTTCTCGACTTGTTGATGATTGATCATGTTCTGGTACAAGCTGATGAAATATTGATAATGACGGAATGGTTTTAACTGATGGTGAAAGAATCAAACCTTTACAACCAACTTTATTTATACAATATTCAAGTTCACGTTCAACATATGCTGGATTGATGTTAACCTAAATCGATTATAAAGAATAGTAGAAGATAGAGGAAATGAGTTTTACTTTGATAAGACCTAGTTTAGATGCAGCAAAAGTCATGGCAACATTTTGTGAAGTATTTGGTAACCAAACAGCAAATCGATCATTTTTTTCAAAGCCTAACTCAAGAAGAGATGCAGCTAGACTATCAACTTCATGTTTAAATGATTTGAATGTATATCGTTTTTGTTCACCTAGATAATTATATAAACATAACAAATTTTATTGATGAATGTAATGAATATACTTTTGAACACATAACATTCATGATCAGGATATTTATCAGCTGTTTCATCGAAACTTTGACTTATTGTTTTATATTGTAGTGGAAGTGGTGAAACATGATGAAAATAACTTGAAGTTAACTTAGGTGATATTGAACTCTTATGTTTTTTTAATAGTAATAGTATGAATGAAGTTGTTTGTGGCTGTGTAAGAATACGTTTTGTTTGATTGATAAACATATTTAAATCGAATAAAGGTTACTATTTAAACATGTGTCTATATGGATGCATCGAAGTAAATGAGTATATGTGAGATGGCCATGTGTGTGTGTTTTTATTTTTCGTTTATGCAGTATTTGTCTGGACGAGATATATGGTACGAAGAAGAAGAAGAACAGCAAAAAAAATGGTAAAGAATGGAGAATAGAAAGTAGATTATTTGATCAAGTTAAGATATCTTTTTAAAAGGCATATTATTTGTCTTGCACTCCAATGAAGTATTGAAAGATGAGGGTGCTAGAGATAATTTCTGTATCGAATGTTGTTTCTCTCAAGAATGAGTGAATGAGTGTAAAGAATAAATTATTCCTATTAGAACAATAGCAATTGAATATGTAATGTATAAGTATTAGTATGATGTTGTTTTTAAACAATAATGATTTTCTTATTACCACGAACAATTCTTTAGTATATATTTATTATATGTCAATGAAAGAGATGGTGATTTTCCTGCATGTACGTTCGATGAATTTATCTTTGAAATTTTGATAAAGATTAGTTAATATCAAGGCAAATAAGAAATGAGAATATTTTATAGTCGAAAGATTATTTGAAAAATGTATTCTTGAAATCAACATCGCTTTTAGACTATATGCACGTTACTTAATTGGTTAATTGATATTGAAAGCTTAAGACTAATCGCAGTGCATTATAAGAATATTCTGTTTGATTCAATTTATTTTATAAAAGAAAGTATTTTAGTATTTCGAAGATAAAATGCTGCTACGTTCACACGTCAGTTTACGTCTAACTGTGAAAAAGAAAAAACTTAATAAAATGACAAACTCAGTTCTTCGAGAACGAACCGATGAGAGAGGTAAGATAAAATGAATTCGTCTCTAGTGATAGAACAGATTAGGTCTTGCCTTTTTATCTACATCGATTATTACTTAGTAAAAATAACGACGATTTTGGAGATTTCTAATTACTTATAAACTAGCAAAATAAGTAGACATCAGAAAAATTGAAGGAGAGTAGCAATTTTTACAGCTTTTTGTGTAATAATTATAAAGTTTCACTGGGAAAAACATTTCCTTTTTTTCAAGATGTCAACACTACGACATATATTAGATTGGACAATTTAGAATATAATTGAAGAAAACAAGTCTTCGTTTATTCACATTAATTGATATTGACTCCAAATACTTCTTTTTAATTACCAAGAGCTTGTTTTTCAATATATTTTCTAATTGAATACCTTGTTTCGTATTGGTTTTTGTCGTAGATTTTCTTTTACATACTTTCACTCATTTCCAGTTGATATCAAAATGTACACTTTTTCTGTATTTTGAAGTTCCTTATTCCAACAAAGATATGTAGTTTGGTTTTCATTTTAAAAAAATAAGTCGTTTCTTCTGCTTTATATTAATAATTTAAACCCGAATTTAAGATGCATCGTTTTTCCAGAAAAACACTTTATTCAAGCACAGAAGTTTCTGCGGGATCATTTTTTTCTTCTATTATTCATTAAATGCACATAGATTTTTCTAGTCTATAATGTATTTTATTCTCTTGAATAATAATAATTAATAGCCAAAGACTCTAAATACAATATTAAAATCAAATTTCATCGCATAAGCTATTAGGGCTACCACAAGAAACACCGTTAGATATTCACGATTAAACACGAAAATTATCGAAACAATATCAAATCTTTTAGCGATCTTGAAGAAACGGGTTGAATGCCATGAATTGATACCAATCACGTGACTTATAAGGCGTACAATTATAACAAATGAACATCATACGTAATAATACACTACTGTATATCATATCATTCAGTAGCATCTCAGATTAACCACAAATATATCCTTGTTCAATCTTTTACACTTAAATTCATCACTTTCTACGCAACTTGTATACAACCTTTTTCATTAATCTACTTTGAGCAAAAAATCAAACTATATTTCGTACTAAAAACTTCGACATAAAAAAGAAATTTAGTTCATTTTTCCATGTCAACACCTTCTTTTAGTTCATTTACCATTGATTCTGATAATTTAAACTTTTGAACCTTTCCTGTTGGTGTCATAATAAACTTATCCACTATACGAATATGTTTTGGAATCTTGAAGAATGCGACTTTATCTTTCAAAAACTTTGTAATATCATTTGGTTCACATTTTGGTGCATTAGGCTTCAGCTTAATCCATGCACATACTTCTTCACCATATCGTTGATCAGGAATGGAAAATACTTGTGCTTCGGCAACACTTGGATGTTCAATAATGACATTTTCTATTTCTATTGGATAAATATTCACACCACCACGAATGATCATTTCTTTTCGTCGTGAAATAAAATAAAGATAACCATCTTCATCCATTTTACCTTCATCACCTGTTC